CCCCTCCTCCCCTGCCCCGGTTATTGCTATTGCTGTTATAGGGCTTGGGGACACCCGCAATCGCAGGCCACCATTGATGCGATTCCCGATCTGATTTACTCATCAGTGAAAAGGCAGAGGGATCCGTCAATAACTTACTGAACAGGGATTTTGTCTTTTTAGCAGATGAGCACTAGACGAGCATGCGTGGGGCGGAGAAACACTGAGTGCGCGGGCGAGAAGCCAGACAATAGGGGGTGAGAAAACCTACATTTGGCAGCTCTCAAATGTTATGCGACGTTCCATAAGGACGTCAGAGTGGGCCCATACTTCTCGATTAAGTTGCCTCTATCATGCTTGCGATTTCGTCGCTCTGATGGCTCGATCCTCTGTATGTGCTGGCTTCAGTACCTTGAACACTGGTATTGTTCATTACTTATAGTCATGATCCCTGAAAACGATAGGGCGTGGTTTGGAGCTCAACCGGTTCAGATTTGCCATCAGCTGTATCGGGCTTCGGATGGCATCATTGATGAAAAAAGGGCGGTCTGGCTGCGCTGTAATCCGCGCCGCGTCGGACGCACTATCGTTTGCAGTGATTCTGACTGTAAACATACTCTGCTCGAAAATCGACATATGAAAGGTATAACTGATACGGTAAACAAACAAGAGAATAACAGAACATATCTAACACTTCCCCTTTACACCACAGGTGGTCTGAAAAGGGTCCCCGTGGCCCGAAAACAATAATTTTTGTCATAAAATTTTTATGGGTAACAACAACAGTAACAATCAACGTATACAAAAAGAGATCGTCTTCTGTGCACACATACTAGAAATATTGTTTAAGCTGGCTTGCTCGAACTCTGGAGCAGTAACGAAAGTGCAAGGTTTTTCGAATCTGCATTGCCTTGGGTCTTAGCTGCCAGGAAGTACTGCCGAAGCTCCTGAAGTGTTTTTATTAGCTCTACAAACTTCCCAGCTGTGCGATTACAAGTCACAGGATTGTCCCTGCAAATGATGGGACGTGCCAGTGCCGCTGGGTTTGGCGTGCAGCCAGCCCGTTCTCCACCTGTTGAATCGAGTAAGCGACAATGATAGGCGAAATATGACCAATTTGAATGCTATGATACAGCCTTGTCGCTTGCCAGAAAACAGAAGAAAAAAATGGGCTGCGCCAAACTCATCTCCATTGGCACTCCCCATCATTCGCAGCGAAAAAGACTGCACAAAGCTATCGCATTATTTCACCTTGCTATCACCCAGTTTCTCCCCCGCAACCTCCAGGTCTTTTTATTTCATATGTTTACTGTGCCTCCTCCACCACCGAACCTTAGATACCACCAAACAAACCTGTGGAGGTGTGAGTGCACCAAGGCGCTGTCCTGCGTAGTAGAACGAGCGTTTGACCATAACGAAAATATTGCGTCAACTGATACCTTAGTTTTCTCATTTTTCCAGCCATCCCTTTCTTCTGTCACTGCCCTATTCGGACAAGCTAATTCCGCGGGCGGACAAAGGGATCTGCACACAATCAAGTGTTTCATATATAAGGTTTCATATATAAGTGTTTCATATATACATAATAATAAAGGCACGCCCGCGGTCAAAATAGTCAGTTGTGCCCTTGTGTATTCACGACAACACGACGAACAACAGAGAAGTGAAGAAAAAAAGCAGGAAAAAAACCGCCCGAAAGGCTTCGTATAGAACCACATGTTAAACCGCGCTTGCACGTGCAGAATGAGCAGAGAAAGGCGTTGTTGAACAAGTTCTCACTTGCCTGGTCTTTCTCTTATAACCTCACCCTCACCATCCAAAAAGACAGAGTTAAAAGTGGAGCAGCCTCAAACCTGACTACGACTACTTGAAAAGTTGGGAATTGC